TCTAGAGCGTGCTTCTCCCCAGATTAACCCCGAGACCTGGAGGCTCGTTTGTAAATTACTTCCTTTTTGTCCTGCGGGTAAATTATTCCTGGGTGAGGTTCCCTGGGGAACTCGGTTCCCGGGGCAAGAAGGAGCGCCGGGGCCCCTGAGTGGGCTGCAGGCGGTACCCACGGGTGCCCCCGGAGTGGGCCGGGGTGGGAATGTATCAAGGTCGGGAGAGATGTGAGCTCCGAGTCCAGGTGCGCCGCTCCTCCCCTCGGCCCCGCAGCCCAGCGCCAAGTTTGGAGCCCGGGACTCGCGGGGATCTGAGCACCTTCCCTGAGTAACGTGATGCGCTTCATCTCCTAGAACCCAAGCCCAGCTGAGCCCGGCGGCCTGGTCCCGAGGCGCTGCGGCGGCGCCGCGCGCCCCTGCCAGCTCGCATCATGAACGCCATCGTTTTCAACAAGCTCAGCGGCGCCGTGCTCTTTGAGGACCGCGGAGCTCCGGAGCGGGAGAGGGGCAGCCGGCCCTACGGCGGCGTCCTGGACAGTCCCCACGCACGCCCCGAGGTGGGCATTCCCGACGGCCCGCCGCTCAAGAACAACCTCGGCCTGAGACACCGGCGGACAGGGTATGCGTATTCCTCCTGGGACCCCTGACCCCTTAATGTGCCTGCAGGCGGTAGGGATGGGGGCGGTGAGCGGCGCGGGATTGCAAGTGACCAACGCTGCGTTCTCCTGGGAGGGCAAGCCTCCTCCTCCTCTCGCGCGTCTCATTTTAAGGTATTGGTGTCTCAAAATATGAAGGGGTCAGTTAGTCAGGACAGTTCAAGAGGACACTAGGAACTGCCCCCAAACCCTCCGATACCTGAACCTCGGGAGTAGGGGGTTACTTGTCCCTCTCAGGACCCGCGGTTGCAGACGCGCGCTTGAGGGCGAGGAAGAAAGTACTGGCCAGGATGCGCAGAAAGAGGCAAAACCCCCCTACGAAAGAAACAGGCAGGGCCAGGCAGCCGGCAATTCCCAAGTCAGGTCACCGGGGGCAGGACCCGTGGGCTTCCTGTCTTCTGCTAAGAAGAGAACGTCGCCGCGGCCTCGCGCTGTGCCTGGCCTTCGGCAAGGTGTCGAGAAGGTCGGCTATCGCCAGGGCGCCCCGGGCGCGCGGACCTGGCTCTGCCGGGCACGCTGCGAGCGCGGAGGGGCAGGCCGTGTGCCTGGCGTGTTCTGGTTTAGCGGGATGAGGGGGCCGCTGGGGTGCGGGAGCTCCCGGGTGGGCAAGCTGCTGCCTGCCTGTGCGTGAAGGGCGGTCTGTGTCCCCGCCAGATCCGAGCGGCTGCTTGAGCGCCCCGCGGGGGGAGGGGCGACTGTGCCGGCTGTTTCCACCTTAACGATTTGCATCAGCTGCTTGTTCTGCAGCGTTGCTGCTTAGTAAAATAGAGATTAGGTTTCGTCAAAATGTTACTACCATTCCGTTCGGATGGAATTGCATTTCAAAGTATTTAAAGAGGCAAAAGCCCTGGAGGCTGCGGCGCAGGCGC